TCAGCAGTATCTGATCACATAAATTTAAGATTATTATTTTAGCTTATTAGCTATAGAAATTATTTTTTCAAGATTTTTTCTTTTAAGTGAAAAAAATACTTTTTAAATTATCTAAACACGAAGTTCACTCAATTATAATCAACTATTTACCAACTGTCGTATGTTAATCACTGATGATGCCAGCGTGCTTGCATGCTTGCAATTTTTCATTGCAAGCCTATAGTGTTAAATATACATTTTATTTTATTTTATTTGTTTGTTTCTTTGGTTGGTTGGTTCGTTGGCTGGCTGGCTGGTTGATTGGTTTTTTGTTTGTTTATTTTAATGTATAATTAAAATATTACAATAGAATTATGTTTAATTTGTATTAACAATTCTGGTATATACTGTTACTTAGTCACGATAAAGATACTCTTTTTCCTCTCTCTCTCTCTCTCTCTCTCTCTCTCTCTCTCTCTCTCTCTTTCTCTCTCTCTCTCTCTCTCTCTCTCTCTCTCTCTCTCTCTCTCTCTCTGTGTGTGTGTGTGTGTGTGTGTGTGTGGTGTACATGTGAAAATGATTACTAATTAGTGAATGATTAGGAGTAATTTTGATTATGAATGATAATTGATTGATAATTGTTATAGGACATGACCGATCCATTACATTAGGATAATATTTATCACTGTTTAATGAATTAAATTTTATATTTCAACCGTTAATTAATTGTTTTAATTAATTGATTAATTAATATAATTAATTTCTATATCCATTTCATTTGTTTCATTTATAATTTTGACGTTGTCGTTTTATTTTGAATTCTAATTGTTAAATTGTAATGTTGCTTGATGCTATTATGGTGATGTCGTTCCTCTTTCTTCGTGTAAATTATTTATTGATTTGTTTTGTAAAAAAAATTTACAATTTTCAAATTTCGGAATCTCATTACATTTAAATTTGCCTAGCAGCTGATTTTTTTATTAATATAATTCATTTGTATCTAGATTTTTTTTTCTTTACTTGTTTTCTTATGATTAGCTGAGTGTAAGAAAAACAATTGCAATATTTGTGTCTGCGTATGTGTGGTGTGTGTGTGTGTGCGTGTCTGTATTTGTGCATTTGTATGTGCGCGTATGTGATAGTTTGTTTGTTTAGCGTTTTGTTTATGTTTTATTTGTCGTTGTCTGTCCCTTTCTATCTGTCTGTTCCTCTCTATCTGTCTGTCTCTCTGTCTATTTATCTGTCTGTCTGTCTGTCTGTTTATCTATCTATATATCTGTCTATCTGTCTGTCTACCTACCTACCTATCTATCTATCTATCCATCTATCTATCTATCTATCTATCTATCTATCTATCTATCTATCTATCTATCTATCTCTTTGTATCTACTTATGATGATCACATTCCGTGATTTCAGCGCAATTTGAATATTTTAAATAATGAATCTGTAACGTACACTATGCGTGAGTGTTGGGTGCCTTAAAATCAATTTTTAAACAATCATTTTATATCATGCTAGGTTTAGTAATTCTACAAGTATTTATTTATTTATAGATTGTTGTAATTTAGTTGTAGTAATAGCTAAAAATAGTTTTTTCCGAATAGAATAGGATGGTCTAGTATCACCACAGGCAGACAAGCTTCTTGTTGCAGTTTTCTGGCAACTTTTTTGATTTGACGTTTAATTAAAACTTTACTGTTGCTAATGCTGGTTATAAATTTTTTTGTTGGAGAGTGTATAGAGAAATTTTTTTTACAGAATATTTGAATGAAATTGTTAGTTTGTCATCTTTTAAGGGATTAATGTTTGGATGGGTGAATGAATGAATGCGTGAACGTTTGGGTGGATGAATGAATGTGTGAGTGATGGATTGAGTGAATGAACTGTTTTTTAACGAACACTTGTATAGGTAAGAAAAATTTACGGATAGATTTGATTTTTTTTTTAATTTTTGAATCATTTTGAAGAAATTTGAAAATATTATATGTATAGAATTATTTATTATTTATTCGTCCATTTATTCCTTTCTCTCTTTCAACTGTTATTTTCAATCTATCCATCTATTCATTTTTACCCATTTGTTCAGTGCCTGCTTTTACTTTATTTATTTTTGAATTTCTCCCGCTACTTTACATTACGGTTTATTGTGTGTAACTTGGTAACTCATTTGAAAACAAAATTTCATTTCAAACCGTTGAATTTTTTCTCTATGTATATATACAGTTCGGTTTTTGTTTTGTCTAGTAGAGAAACTTTTATCTAATTATATCTTCATGTTGAATTCTGTTTGTTTGTTTGTTTAAATAGATACGCCTACGTCTGCCGTGTACACCGCTTTCGTGTGCACATACAGAATGAAGTACACATTTTGTATATATCCGCACCTACAAAATGATGTACACATTTCAACAAAACTATTGTCCTGCTAGTTTTTGACAGCATGTTTGCAAATGAGGTGTGTACGTATTTTTCTTTGCTCGGCCGAATTTTTTCTTTTTTTTTTTGTTTGTCACTATAACAATGAATTAACTTTTCCATCCACCAAACGATAATTTTGACAAAAGACATTTTATTGTGAATGTAATTAATGGTTTGCTCAATTTTATAACATTGCTAATTAAGTCCATGTTGTGTGCGTATGCGTATATCACGATGCGTGTGCTCGTTTGCGTAATGTGTGTGTTCGTGTGTGCGTGTGCATTTACTTTGTATGAAGAAAGATACATATATTTGTATATTTATCAACTGTTTTTGCGTGAACACTATGCAGCTAGCAAAAATATTTTAATTTCACTTTTTTATACTGATTTATATAGCGCAGTTCACTCACTATTCAATGAACAGACGGAATATTGTTTTAAAATATTTTAAAATAAATAACATTAATTTGAATATATAACGTATATTTATATATATATTGTTTATTCTGATTTAATTTATGCCATGATTGCGTGATTTTGTTATATGTCAGCTATATACCACATTAAAGCTATTTTTTAATGTATATACATACATGTATGAACGCGTACATTAGCGAGTTTTATGATTTACTTTTTTTTAATGAAAAATTATTTTTATACGGTACTTGGTAGCAGTTTTTTATACGGTACTTGGTAGCACTTGTGGAGTCTGGCCAATGCAGATTGTATATTTGATGCTTTTTTCATACACTGAACAGTTAAGCTGGCGTACTGTTAAAATTACATATTTATATTTAATTGATTTTTTACGAGTTTGGTTTCAGGAATAAAAAAGTTGATTAAGATTTTTTGTTATATTTTTGTTATATTGCTCAGAATTGCTCGTCATCAAATCAAGCTTCTTCTTCTTTCTCGTGCCTCATCCTTTCAGGACATTGGCGACCCTCGACCTCTACAAAACCAGATCTTTAACACTTTGTAGTTGTTGAAATGTGGTGATATTTAACAAGTTACACAAGGACTTCACAAATGTTGTTCGTTGCTGACCGCGATCTCTTTTCCCTGCAATCTTTCCAGTAGTTGTTAGATTTTCCATTCTTTCCTTCTGCGTGATGTGACCAAAAAACTTTAACTGCCCCTGTCGGATTATCTGGAGGAATTTCCTCTTTTCATAACCGGACTGTTTTAAAACATCCTCGTTCAAAGTATAATAGGCCCAACTAATTATCAAATTTTTCGCAAAAACCACATCTCAGCAGCGTTAATCTTTTTTCCATTTCTTTAGAAATTCTCCTGGATTCAGAACCGTAAGTAAAAACAGAAAAAATGTGACATCCTAACAGTTTTAATTTTGTTGATATTCGGATTTTACTGTTGGCGAGGATGTTTTTCATTTTAGAATATGCATCTTTCGCCGTCTTTTGCTGTCCATATCACATTTACAACATGAGGTAATCAGACTTCCGAGATAATTGATGCTGTTGACTTGTTTCACTTGTTTAGCATTAATTGATCGATTGATTGATTGACGGATATACAGTTCGTCTATAGCGTCTAGTTATTTTCTATTCGCTACTTTTGGTCCTTTATGTTTAATTTCATACGATTGGTGAAAATTAAAGAATAACAGCGCCATCACTGAAAAGTTTTTTTAAAAGTTAATCCAAGTTTGGATGGAAAATTTGTTTTTTTTTTCAATTTTCTGGCGGCTTGCGTGTTACGTTTTAATTAATCGCAAAATATTGTTAATTCGAATAAAATTTCAGTTAAATATTTACATTTTGCGATTACTTTTAAAAATCCGTTGAAAAATTTAAATACTTTACCTCTTGCGGCTGTAGTAAAAATAAAATAAAGACAACATAAAAATTAAAAATAAATAAATAATCAAGGCATTTTTATGTTTTGGTATTTTATTCTACAACAAATTTTCGCTTTTTTCAAAGTTTAACTTGAAACATTCTAATAAAATGTCTACTACGACCGTATCTAAGCCTTAAATGATGACAGGGAATGAAAATATGAACTTAACAAGTTCCACAAGTTCGTCAAAACATGTCCAAACATGTCATCAACAGACCACACTTGCATTGCTGTTATTTTTTTTTATTATACAATTATAGATAATACACAATACAAATTCACACACACACACAAACTGTTGTAAATATATGTATATGTGACATACATCCATATGGATATTTATGTTGAATATAATATAGTATATTTAAATTAATAATCTATAGTTATCATTATATAATGATATATAATTATATATTTATTTATGTTTGATATAAGATGCAACAGATATGATATTTTATTTTAGTTTCATTCGTTCATAAAATTGTTTTTTTTTTATTTTTCTTTATAAAAATTTCAATAAATTTTTAATGACTAGGTGTATTGTTTGTTTGCCTGGTGCAAATTTAATGTCCCTCTCTTGGTGGTTTTATTTAAATAATTAAATTTTATTAAGAATATAAAATTCTAAAAATAGTTTTAAAACATTTTGTTAGAATAAAAAGAAATAAGAGTAATTTTTTAATTGGTTCATAACCACTTCTGCTACTACTGTTAATTTACTTACTGAAACTGGACCATGTGGGATAAATCTGTCAACATTAATAATGCTAGTACCACTGGTGGTGGGACTGTTGGCTTGACGTCAGGAAGGTTAAATTTAAAAAATCATTTAATAATATTAAATTTGAATTCATTTTTTTTATCAATTAGTTATTAATTTAAAGAAAACTTTTCTAATGTGCATGTTTTATTTAAAACTTTATATTGCCACCAACACCGTAGAATGTACAAACGAATTAAATTTCAGGCAATTTGTTGTAAAATTTCACGAGAGGATTTTAAAATCTTTGAAGAGAATTTCTGATTCCGATAAAATTAGTGATAAGGTTGCCTGTCTAAAAGCCTCTCTAAATATAGAAACATGTTAGTTTGTATTTTTTAAATTAATTAATTAAACTTAGGTCACATTAAAAGAAAATATATAATTAAATAAAGGAATAATTAAATAAATCAGATAAAATGTCATTAATAACCATAGATATCTTAAAAGTAAATTGATGATTATTAAAATGAAAATGAGATTAAATTCGAATTTTCTGCCTATCCTGTCATCTAGTAACAATAACAGTTGATAGTGTGGAACCCAGTAACATCAACAACAACTGCATCAATAACAACAGCAACAACACTCATTACATTAATTACCTTCTTTCTTCTAATGCTAGTTGTTTAGGGGAGTTCTTCATCCCATGCCAGGTAGTTTATTGTTGTTGTTGTTGTAGTTGTTATTATTATTTTCATTATTATTATTATTGTTGTTGTTACTGCTGTTGCTGCTGCTATAATTATTATGAATGGTTGAGTGGTTGAATGATAAATAAATAAATGAATGTGCGAATGAATGTACGAATGATTGAGTAAATGAACGATTGAGTGAATCAATGAACGAATGACAACACAAATTAATAGACCATAAATTGCATGCATTAAGAAATGGTTAAAAATTGATTACATGAGAAATCAATCAGTTATTAAAAAGTTAACTCCACTACAAATAAACTACTTTTAAAATAAAAATTGAGGAGAATAAAAAGATCAAAAGGCATTTTAATTTAATAAATAACTATAAAAATAGATCGAACCATGTTCTGAACAATCTCACAATGATGAGTACCTGAATTCAATGATGGTCAGTCCGTTGGGTTTTTTGTTATTTTGGGTTTATTTATCATCCTTGGGGTTCTTTGATTTATCCAGTGTTTTTGGTATTGTTGTATTTAATATTTTTGGTGTATTTTTAGCGTCTTCGTTACTTCTTATCAGTTATTATTAATAATAAATAATATTATTTGCATAATTTTATAATTATTTTCAAGTGCCTACAAAAGAAATGGTCATCCCAATCAAACACAGTCCACCTATCCAATTACATATCTATCAAGATGCTGTTCAACGACAACGCTAACAATATTAGTAATGCTCTAAAAAATTATCTTAAAAGCAGTAATAATAATAATAACAATAATAATAATGCATGCACCATGCATGCTGAATTAATTCATCCTGATAACTCGTTTAATCTCACTCCAATAAATCCTATCGAATTTTTTCCAACTGCTTTGCTAAAAAGTTTCATGGGGCCGCAAAACGTGGGGGCAGTTAGGCGCGAATCGAAATCTGGGTAGGTGGGGTGACTGGGCAGGTGGGGTGGTTGGGTAGGTGGCGTGGCTGGGTAGGTGGTGTGGCTGAGTAGGTGGCGTGGCTGGGTAGATGGGGGCTTGTGAGTTGAGGCGGGGTTGGGTTAATAACGGTGGCTACGTTGGTTTATTAAGTTCGGAGATTTCACTAATGGTGATGATTTTTGATGATTCGTTGTCTATCTTTGTTGGTTTTTTGGTTATACTTAGTTTCTTTGGTCCTTTTTTCAGATGTCTAATATTGAAAACAGAAATTTTTGTTACATTTTTTCAAAGCTTTTTGGTACTTGACGACAAGCAGAGACTGAATCTGCTGTTATCGTTAGACAACGTCATGATCAATAGTAAGAGTCCTCTGGCTGGAATGTAAGTGGAATGTTAATTTATTAATTAATAATTATAAGTTACACATATTTAATTTTTATTATAACTAATTTAAATACCCGTATAAATACCCAATTTCATAATTATAAAAATATTATGAATACTTTTTTTCAGTTGGATAAACGGAGTTGATACGTATGACGACCCATATGTCTGGGCCTGTCTCTTTAGATATGTCTACATTGTTAATTGGTTGGTTATATATGTGTGCGTGTATGTATGTGTGCGTGTGTGTGTGTGTATGTGTGTGTGTGGGTGTTATTTCCGTTTACTTGTTTTGTGCATTTTTCAGTATAAAAATAGCAATTTTTCAATCGGGTCTTTCACAAAATTATTGCCAGCAGATAAAATTATTTAAGCAGTGATGATTTTTGTTTCATAAATCAATTATCTCTTTTGTAGGCTGAAAAATTCGTTAATCAAATGTTTAAATAGTTTTTTGTAGTTTTTTTTAACCAGCCAAAAAAACGAACAGAGAGAACAGAACATACTTTTCAAAACAAACTCACAAAAGACGCCAGAACTTCACCTTAAATCCCGAATTCAGCACTAAAAAACCGCGTGCAACTTTGAAAATTGAAATAATCATTAATAAAAATATATCCAATTGACAATCAAAAGCAAGCATTAGTGTCAAAAAGTATCAGATTATTTTCCGTCTAAAATGCGATATCATCAAGTCTAATACTAGCCATCAGAGGTATTGTCGATATCAAAGCTAATACTGAATAAGTATCATTGATACAATATCGGCCATATAAAGATACTTTGATACTAACAACCCTGATGATGGCGATGATGATGATGGTTATGATAGTTAATATACTTGAAAATGATGATGATGACGATGTCAAAAGATTTCTTCCAACTTTTTTAACCTGTCCAAACCTGCAGAGTTCGGTATTTATTTCTCTTTAATTGGCTAGAGATTTACTGCTAGCCACTGGCGTTGATAAGATTCCTCCACTTGACACAGTATATCTTATATAGCATCAACCACACGCGCTCATTCACACGTACTCTCACAGACAAGTGCACATACGCACATGCATACATATTCATTCGTTGTTATTATATATAAAATAGTTCCGCTATTGTAGATTTCGGATTTCATTATCGTATTGCTGGTCATGTTGTAGATGTAATTATGCTGTGAGTTACTTCTCAATTGAAGGTTTGTTAGAAGAGATAATAATGAGAAAAAATATGTTTTTTTTTGCAGTCCTAAGGCTTCTGACGGCAACAACTCCAACGTTAAAAACATCAGCGGCCTCAGTAACAGCAACAGAAACTTCCTTGTCGTTTTCTTCCCCCCACTACAAAACAACCCCGAGTTCTGTCGGTGCAGTTATAGTAATGATCACCCTAATTTTACACTAATTGCAGGCCAGGAGACAGTAACAATTGACTATCTGGTATTCTTTCGGTTGAATTTTTACAGCCCACTAAAAATTTTTGCACTTATTTTTTAGTTTTAATTATTATTTAAAATGATTTTTCAATCGACTGGAGGGTGGTAAGATGATGTAGCGGTCGCTAAGTTCTTGAATCTATGCTCTCTTGACTGGGTTTGATTGCAAGGAGATCCCTGCTTATCACATGGTCGGCCAGTTAGCTCAGTCGGTAGAAATGCAAGCAGCGCGACAATGGCCCGTTTCGAATACTGTTTGCCTCTGTGTATGCTGCTATGTTTGAATTTTAAATTTAAGTGTCTCAGATGTGTAAACTGGAAAGCTACGTGAAATAAATTTTCCTTTGTTCATACTTTTTTTTACAAATTTTACACTTTAAAAGTTATAAATGAGTACATGATGTCTTTCCACTGCTAGACGACAGGCAAGGATCATACAATGAAACTGAGTAGTAACAAGGTTGCTATAAGGAGGTTTGATGCGTTTGTCAATGTCCTCAACCAAATGAAGTTCGCTTTTTTTCTTTCTTTCTTTTTTAATTTTCTATAAATTTTCATCGCAGTTTATTGTTACTTCATTTTTATTATCACGATTAGTATTATAATTTATATTTTAGTTGTAATAATTTGGAAAAAATATTTTCCAGGCCATCCGTCCCCTGTCAATCAAATCTCGCATCGACTCGCCCATTGGCGAATCCTCCAACCAATCAGAATCAAAATAATGAGAGCTGCAATTTGAACGTAGATGACAGTTTTGTTAGGAATGAGTTACTTATTCAGAGGAACATGGTGAGATATAACGACGATGATGATGTGGGCTATGGAGTTGATAATAATAACGGAAGTGATGATGGTGATGGTGCTGAAAAGAATTATTTATTTTGAAAAGTATGAATGAATAATTTTCAAAAGGTTTTTGGAAATTATGACGAGTCATTGATAGCACTGCCTGCTGTGAAGGAAGATGTTACCCGACCGCCTCAACAACAAACACAATTTTTGCAACATCAGCAACTGAACTTTCCACAGCAACCTCAACTACGTCGACAACTGGACCAACTACAACCGCCACAACAAAGTTACGTGGTTCCTTCAAAACCTGGGACCAGCCAGCACCCTTCAACAGCTAGCAACGAGCAACAAACATCCGCAGCACAAAATTTTCAGCAACAACAACTGCAATTACATCAGCAACAGTTTAATAACAAACCTCTTAACCAAACTTCAAAAAAGCAAATTGCAGCGAAACGACAGCAGCAGCAGCAGCAGAACAACTCCCAAAGTTCAACCCCACCCCCCAGCAGACCATCGACCTTCAGACAGACTCCACAGTTCGGAGATTCATCTCAACCAACGAATGATTCACCAAGAACGACAACGCAAAAACTTCCATCTAAAAGTGCGAAAAATCTTCAGCAAAGTAAACCAAAAACAACGGCAAAGTTACACTGCACTGATAGAGCCCAGCAACAACTTCAGCAAGAGCAGGCAACACTTGAACAATCGTCTTCATCACCTGACAGTGGTGTCAACATGCCCGAGTTCAACTACAAGTCGCAACCAGATTTCCAACAGCAACAACATTTTCAACAACAACAACTATTTATGCTTCAACAACAACAGCTTGTATCTCTACAACAACAACAAAGTCACCCGCAAAATTTTCCAACGTTCACAAATCCACCCAATCCTAGAGACTACAAGAAACAAGTGAGTAGTGATTCAAACGCATCAAAAGAAACGGATCAAATACAAATAATTCCCAACTACCTCCAACAGTTTCCAACTCAACAACAACATTTCCTCTCGCCATCTCAACATCAGCAACATGTTGCAGTTGCATCCAACACAACATTCGCACCGACGGCTGCAACTTTGCAGCAACATCCACAGTTCTTAGCAACAAGTCCTCAGCAGTTGTTGGCAGCAGTGACTGATCTGCAAGTCACAGCAGCACAACAACAAATGAATTTACTTGCAACAACACAACAACAACAAAATTTGTTACTAGCAACACCGCAACAAAATCAATTACTAACAACACAACAGCAGCAACAACAACTAACCCCAGTTCAACAGCAACTGCCTCAGCAAACAACACCTCAACAAATTGTATTCACACAACAGCCACAGCAACTACAGCTAACACCACAACAGCAGCAACAACTACTACAACCACAATTTCAGCTGCAACCTCAGCTTCTACAGCCACAGCAGCAGTTTAAGCCACAAGCCAACATGTGGATTCCACAGGAGATTTTACTATTGCTAGCTAGACAGGATGCTGAATTAAGGGTTGGTTATCTTCTGAACTACCAATTCATTAATTGGTAGTGGTAGTAATAATAATATTAGTATAGTAGTATTAGTAGTAGAAGTAGTAGCAGTAGTAGTAGTAGCGTTAGAGTTAGTAGAGCGCTAGTAGTATTAGTAAGATTACTGTTAATAATATTATTATGCAGTCATTGAAACTTGAACTGGAGGCCCTGAAACAAGAAAAATCTCAAATTAGTTCTGGATTGAGCAACACCAACAACAACATCAACAACAACAACAACACTAACAATAGCAACAACAAAGATTTACAAGCAAATAACATCAACTCTAATGTTGGCAGGGGCAATAACGGCAACGTGGAGAACAGTAGTAGCAACAACGTTAATGTGAACAACAAAAATATCTTGTCTAGTGGTAGTAGTAATAGCAACAAAAACACAAAACAACACAGAACTTCACTTCCTGACGATCACCTCCAACAACAACAACAACTGCATCAACAACATCAACGAATCCTATCTTACGAAACATCCAAGAGAGATAGAGGAAGCCTTGATTCGTTCATTCAGTTTAACCAACAACAACAACAGCATTTACAGCAACCAAAACCGCAACAAAAACCACAGAAATTTTTCCAGCAGCAACAGCAACAACATCCAAGGCAACAAAAATCAACAAAACAACAATTACAGAAACAACAACCTGCCCAGAAACAACAACAACCTGCCAACAACAACAAAAACATTTTTACTGACTCCAATAACAATGATAACGACGACGACGACGATGATGATAATGTTCATGATTATAGTCTTCCGGATTTGACAGTCACACAATTTGAAGTGCAAAGAACTCTCGTATCACCGGTGTTCCCAGAAATGCCAGACTTTAGCGAATGGTTGGGAGTTTTTTTCTTAAATTTGATTGGTCGGTTTGACTTAATGGAATAATGTGATTGGTTGGGTCTACTCCAATGGTAAATGTAATTGGTCAATCCTGTTAGATAGAGGAATGGTTTTGTTGGATGGAGAATCATTATATGTCTAAAACAAAAGTGAATTTGATTGGTTGACATCGACGGATGAGTAGTATCATTGATTTCAATAAGCTTATTAAATCAAGCAAATAAAAAACTGGTCGACAACTTAACTCAGATATACAAGATATACTCAGATTATATGATAATCATTCCTCAATCACAACATTCACGATGAATAAATTGATTTGGATTTTTTGGCGTGACAGTTATTTTTTTTTAATGAATTTTTCTCTTGCTCTCTCTCTATAACTGACTCACACTAACAAAAAAAAACAAAAACAATAGGTGCAACAATTGCAACGATACAGGTATCATGGATACCTGCACTCAATCAAATTTACCTGCTGCTACTACTGCCGCTGCTACTACTGTGGCTGTTAGTCTAGCGTTTTGATATGTCTTCTAAATGCGAAATTTTTTAGTTTTTTTTTTTAGTTGCATTTGTCGAATTATATTGTTGTTTATGTTGTTGTTTTTGCAATTGTTATTCAATTTTATTATGATTCATAATTCTCCATTCTCTGAATTAATATAACAGTTTTTTTTTCATTATTATTTGTTGCAAGATTAAATTCCTTTGAAAGCTCTTGCACACAATTGAGTATCTTATTTATTACATTTATTTATCTGTCTGTCTGTCTGTCTGTCTGTCTGTCTATCTATCTATTTATCTATCTATCTATCTATCTATCTCCCTACATATCTATCTATTGTTAATTCATTACGTTAGTTTTTATCTGATTTAGAGACCTAATAACATCACGGATGGCAAGGGAGACTGTGAAGATGGAAACATTGTTTACAAAGATATTATTGTAAGTTTTTGATTTTAGTTCATTTGGGGTATTTTTATTCTTTTGTTGTTGTTTTTTCTTCAATTTTCAACTTTGCTCATGCTTGCTCTCTTGCTTATAAATGATGATGAAGACGACGATCATAGTTAGATTACGATGGTAATGAATACATTAGTATAGTTAAACGATGACGATGATGACGACGATGATGATGAGTGTAGTGGTGAGATGAAGTGGTGATGAAAGGGATAATTCCTTCACCATTTTTCGAAGGAAAAAGTTCAGAAAATGTTAGTCCAGAACAAGACAGCTAAAGATGCAAACGTCCGTGTTGATTCCAGGGCCTCGTCATCATCTTCCTCATCAAAATCACCTCATCAAGATCCTCCAATCCAATCAAATCAAGGAATGCTTCAGCGTCACCAACAACGTCATCCGCAACGACAAAATTTAATGAATCACCGTAACGATGATGAAGATGAGGACGATGATGATGGTAGTAGTAGTAGTGACGACGATAATGAAGAGGATGAGGATGATGAGGAAATTAGAATAGATAGAAAACTTGACTTTGAAGAGATGACTAGGAGGCAGCTTAAGGAAATTGGCATTGATGTGGATCAGATTGATCTAGCCAAGTACGCCCTTGTGTGTGTGTGTGCGTGTGTGTGTGTGTGTGTGTGTGTGTTTGTAGGTGCGTGCGTGTTGTTTGTGTGTGTGTTTTATCACTTACTCGCATCACAACAATAATTATCCTCACAGACAGACGTCATCAACCCTGGACATATCCATGTACCTTCCTTCCGTCAACCACAAGTCAATCCTTCAAATGGGAAGGAGTTACACGTACGATGACAGCGATGATGAAGAGATCAAGGGCCTCGGTGATACTCCTCACCACCGTCATCATCAGCAGCAGCAGCAAATCAGAAATAGACAACCGCCGAAATTTCTGTCATCATCTTCCACACCGTCCGATGTAAGCTTGCAAATGGATTCGCTAGCTATGAAGTATCTTAAAGATGAAGAGCTAGCCTGTCTGGCCAGAGTCAATAAATCTAGCAGGTATTTTCGGATTAGTGTTTTGTGTTTGTCTCTGGGATGTAGTGGAAATGTTGAAATCGATTGGATTTGTTAAAGATTTTAGAATCGGCAAGAATGTTTGTTGCCATTGTCCTCTATGTTGTATTAGAGAGGATAATTAATTGGTTGGTTGATCGGTCGATCGATCGATCGGTCGATTGATTGATTGATTGATCAATTGATTGATCGATTGTTTCATTCATTTATTCATCCATTCATTAGTTCATTGATTGTTTTACACAAATGCATTATTTGCTCTAGTTTTTTTTATCCCAACATGTTCACTCTTAATTTAGGACAAAAAATGTTCCTGACTGCAGCAAAGCGATGAAGAAAGCATTAAAGATGGGAAACAGGGCTTCCGGTGCAAAGAATCATAACGTCAGGAAGATGGAGAACGAGAAAAAGAAGCTGGAAGAGGCTGACACTACGCTTCCTAATAAAATGCTCGATATTGAATCTTTAAAAGAACTGCCAAAACTTCTATAGTTCAATTATTTAATGCGTTATGATTTGGAGAAGCATTAACTGCTTGGCTCTATTTATTTTCACCACCCGTTTGTTACTGTTGGGTATTTAGATTCTAGCCTTTCATTATTAATTTGTAATTAGGAAATTTTCAAATGTAGCAAGAGGTTTTGATTTTTTATTAATTGTTTGTAGCAGTCATCAACTGTTAAAATGTTCGCATTTCAACATTATTTCTTATTGTTGAATTACAACATTGGATTTTAAATTTTATTTCGTTTTTTCTTTCAATCGAAACAATGAAACGTTTATATTAATAATACGTACGACATTCTTCAAGCCTGCACCAACTAAACTTTCACCTGTTCCTTCGTCCGGACGAAAGATTTTACGTCCGGACGAAAGATTTTACGTAACTGTGGCTCTTCTGATAGCCATAATGGTATCTCAGCTGGCTTACTATGTCGTCACCAGTCCAATCCTTGCACGTCTTGTCTTCTGGCTCCTTGTTATCCATCAGGAATGTTTTTCGGCATGTTAGACAACACGGCTTGGGCATCTTTTTCTTCCTCTCGATTACATGTCGGCAGAATTTGGATCTAGGATCGGTGCTGCATAACGGGTAGTCTTCTGAGTCTGTTATACTGACTTTTCTATATTCCCTTGCGTACAAATCGCACAGCCTGGTTTCCATCATGTTGTGGCCTGCAATTAAATTTTCTTTCATCAGATCTCGATTCAACAGGCCATTATCGTAGACCCATGCAATCAATTTTTCGCATTTCTTCGAAAATGGTGGACCTTTTTCGTAAGCTGGAAGAATAACATCCAAGAGAACCGCCGCCAGATACCTGCTGACTATTTTTCGGCCGAATTTTTCTTCGACGTTGGTTATTGTTCCCGGTGGTGGTTTACACAAACAACGAAGTTTGTTTCTATCTTGGATGCATCTGTATCTGAAGTTCTGCAAGAATGGTTTGGGTATCGTTGAATGTCGGTAGGCGGTTTCAGTTGTATAAAATCCCCCGAACTCATCTAGGAACGGTACATCAGATGGACACTCTTCTTCCTCATCTTCTTCCATGTTGTCTTTTTTTTCTATTTCTTTGATTTTTGTTTGAGTAATTTTTACGGAATGATCAGAAGATTCCTCTTTTTCCTCATCTTCATCTTCACCCTTCTCTTCCTCTCCGTTATTATTTTCTTCTGAGTCGTCTTCTCTATCGTTTTCCTGCTGTTGTTTTTCATCTGCCTCAGTATCAAACACAACATCCTGTATTTCGTAACGTTTGCATGCCTTCGAATAATCTACCGTAGACTCTTCCGTACTGCTTTTCGATTTTGTTTCGTCAGACTTCTCAACATTTTCATCTTTTTCATCATTAACATTTGACCGATTCTTGTTCTCAAAGTTACTATTACGTACAAATTTTGATTTTACGACGCTTTTATTTTGCAATATATTTGTCTGTCGTATTGTTCTAAAAGAAGACTTGAACATTTTGGATTTTGCAAATGATTGGTTGATTGCATTGGGACTGGAATCGTTACTCGCTATTTCCTCGTCATCAACGGATTCTGGTTCCAAGTTGTCAGGTCTGACGTAAATTAGCTTTTCCTCAAACATTGGCTCGTTCCGATAATTCAAAGAATTGAAATCAAATGAGTAATGCACGCAATATTTTGGCAGGACAGACATGTCTTTTACATTTTCCAAGTGGGATTTCTCGAGATCAAATGAAGACATTTTGTATCTATTTGAAGCCATTTTAACTTTCATCCTTAATCTCCAGGATGGCATATTTTTGTCGATCAACTTTTCGTCGGTTGGCTTTTTGAAAAGTTTTTTATCCTTAATCATTTTTGCGTATGCGAAATCATTCAACATCCTGCTTTCTTTCAAGTCTCTTTTTGACGGAAATTTAACATCTCCTGTTAAATCTTTCAAAACAACGTAGCAATCACTTCTCTGAAAACGTTTGGCCAGTGCGACTGGAGTCATTCCTGCTATGTTTGCTGTCATCCAAGTAGATGGTTTCACTCCTAACTTCATTTCGTAGCCAAGTAACATCTGCACGATTCGCGAATTTCCCGTAACGGCAGCATAATGCATGGGTCTGTTACGCAGCAGGTCTAAGGCCTGAGTATTGAAACCCGAATAATCCAAAAGAACATTTATTAAAGCTTCCATGTCGTATATACACGCATAATGTAACGCAGTTAAGCCTCGAAAATCAGTTTTACCAACCGCAACTAAATGTGTTTCGAGCAATGTGCGGGCTATGCCGACAGACCAGTTGTCGTTTTGTATGAGGGCACATAACATCAGAGGGGTTTGACCTTTTTTATTGGGCTGGTTTACATTGTAGCCCAGTGCCACCAAGAGTCTAACTTGATGAAAATAACCTTTCATGATAGCATCGTTTATCGTTCTTTCTAATTTGTACTTCATGTTCAGCTAAAAAAAAACATTTAAAAATTGCTTGGTATACGCTTATGTATCAGTGTTTGTGTACATTTGTCGTTGACGTTTTATTTCTAAGTATAGCTTAGCGCTCCTCTAAACAAATTAATTGTTAACTAAAAATGAAATATTAAAATTGAGTTTTTGTGTTAAAAGTCTGTACGTGAATTAAATTCCATCGGGCATGGCCTCTCTGCCGTCGTACAAAGTAGGCGCATTCATAAGAATTGAAATGCCTCCAACGAAACATATCAAGAGGTAGAGGAAAAGGACGATGCGATCAAAAACTCTGCTCACGTACTTCCAATCGTCTTTCACCTATGGATATGACAACTTCTATTAAAATTTAATTTTTTTTTATCAATTTTCAAGTGCAAGTTTTACAACATAAGTATTGCATGCAGTTTTTGAAAAATTTATCAAAATCATACTCGTCTGCTGGTGTCTGCCGATTTAACATGGTTGGCCACAAAAGCCAGACCTTCGATAGCCTTGTGAACATTGGGCGGAAACTTTTGCATCTTCCACCTGGCGCATGCTTCACAGATGGTACTTTGGTTGGCAGTCTTTGTCTGATCGTCTTTGGTGCCGTAGAGATCTCTGAAAAAATGAATTGCATCAAATATATTCGAATAATCTGTTGAAATACGAAATAAAATTAACCTTAAATTATCCAAATTAGCGTAAGATGTCTTGCTCTCCATTCTGTAAGGGTTTCCGAATGGGACCAGTTCACTGTGAGCAGACGAGAAATCAATGTTGGTCTCAAGATCAAATGGTTTCTCCGGCGGTCTTCGTATAAAAAAAAATCTTGGCAGGCCGTCTATGAAAATTTTTTTCACCCATTTCGGGATGGTGATATTTCCCAGGGATCTGTTGATCAAATTGGAGAGATCAAATTTTTTAAATTATTATCTCTAATTACTATTTTTCAACAAAAATAACAGCCATTCGTCTTTTTTTAATGTCCTCAGTACATCCAATGTAACCTGTGGTTTAAGTTTAAAACGATGACCGAAAGTATAGCAGAGAGGGAAACGAGAATGCACGTCAGCAGTAGATACTTTCCGATCATTGGAATGACAATGGAGGTTCCTGGCACCAGATCCATCAACAGCAGCTGGAAAATACTAAGGGACAGCATGATAGATATACAGACGCTGACTTTTTCGCCGCAATCACATGGAAGATAGAAAGCCAAAAACGTCAGCATGTTGATGGAGACGCAAGGGATTATGAGGTTGATGATGAGGTAGAGAGTTTTCCGACGTATGACAATTGTGAACGTGACGTCTGGGTAGGGCTCCGTTCCACAACACGGGTAGAAGACACTTTTTTTCTGTGCAGTCACGTTCATCAAGTCCCATTCAACACTCTGTGATGGTATGAAGTGATGCCTGAAATGTTGGTGATGGTTTGAGAATTTGGTGATGGTTTGGATTGTAAAGTAAACTGCGAGCTTGTGTAGTTTTGAAAGTTTTTAGTTTTTCTAAGGTTCCTTACCTTGTAGAATTCGTTGAGTTGAATGGCCGGGTCAATCATATCGAACTCTCCACCCTTGTTCCATTTGTGTCTCACGTCAATCTTTCAGACAAATTTTCATCTCTGTTTTAATCTTACGTACTTTTTCATGATGACAATATTAAAAGTAATAAATAATGTTAAAAACTGTAAAAAAAACTATAAATTAAATAAATAGAATTGGGGGGAGTTTAGCAAAACAAGGACCAACCAAGGCTCCGGAGTATGTCCAGGAGCCAAACTTCATCTTACATTTCTGTTCGTCGAACGGGAAGTACTGGACATCGATTTCGCATTGGCTCTTATAGATAGCCGGTGGCTCCCATTTGACGCTGCCGTTGAAGGAAATTGTGACTTTGGTCATCAGCGTTATTATGTAGTCGCCGTCCGCACTGTTTTTGTGGTTGTGGTAGTAGTGGTATTTGTAGTGGTAGTAGAAGTAGTAGTAGTAGTAGTAGTAGTAATAGTAGTAGTAGTAGTAGTAGAAGTAGTAGTAATGATAGTAATGGTAATTAATAAATAAATTACTGAATGAACGAATGAATGAAAAAATGAATGAATGAATAGAAAGATGAAATAAATTTACTTGTTGTATAGTACAATGTCTGGTATCCAAATGGATTCAGCGGGAACGTACAGCATATTTACCCCTCCATACTCCACCGGGTCCCACACTAAACTATAATCCGTCCATTCCTTTGTGTTTGTTTGTTTGTGTATGTGTGTTTGTATGTATGTTTGTATGAATGTTTGCGTATTTGTATATGTTTACTCAATGTTTGTGTGTGTGTGTCTGTATATATGTATGTTTAAGTTTTTTTAAATGTTACCTGATTGAGCCAAACATTAGTCGTGATTATTTCATTCTTCTCGTCCTATTTAAAAAAAAGAACAATAAAAATGTGAATTATAATAGTTATTATTATTATTATTATTATTATTATTATCATCATTCAAAACAAAGTTTAAAAGTAAGCTACATAAACCAGAATTTTTAAAAAATTAAAAAATCCTCAACGGATATGTAACCAGATAACTTACAACGTCTATTATCTGAGAGAGTTTCAAACTGATAAGAATCAGGAGGGAGCTGGTGTTATTGAGGGCAGGCCTTATCAACCTATTATACTTACTTTTACGTAAGAGATCGTCGTACAAACGCCGAGCGTCCGGGTTCGACTGCACCTGATGCAGCGATGTGATGAAGTAGAGGACGCAAATGATCGCTAATAATCCTGTTAGGAATCTTACCGTTATTGAAACTGGCGGTGAGTTTAGAATCATTTTTTGTTTCTATTTTAATTAGTTAATTAATTAGTTAATTTATTAATTCGTTTGTAGTAAACAGTTTCGGATTGAATATACATTACCCGATATTAAATTATCCGATCAAGATTTTTGCTAATTATTTTTGAACAACGCAACACTTCACTTAAGTTGTTTAGAATTTGTATTTATAGAACACATGTAAACGTGTTTAAGGCCAAACATAAACGATTGTTTATAATCATTAAACAAACAAAACAAACATACAAAATAAGTGAATGAAGGAATGAAAGAAAGAATAAAGAGCTAGCCAAACTATGTACACACAAAATATGAGTTTGTATGCACATAAGTAGGAAAAGTGTTTGCAAAGTTTTTTTTACTACAGGAAGCAATGCTGGGAAGATGCTTTTGGAATGCTATTATCATCTTCATTATCATAATTTATGTTATCATCATCTTCTTCAACGTTATCATAATTTATGTTATTCTCATCATCTTATTATTCATCTTCATAATTTATGCTATCATCATCTTTTTCATTTTCATTATCATAATTTATGCTATCATCACCATCATCGTCGTCGTCATCATCTGGAAAAAAAGTTGGAGAAATGAAATAAAAATAAATACGACTGCTGCCTGAACGATGGATGGAAAATAAATAAA